AGGGGTGGATGGGAAAGGGGCGCTGTAAGGTCTCCCCAAAGTCTTTTCTTCCTAAGGATGAATGAATCCTGTTTCCTCAGCCTTTCCTAGCAGTGCTCCAGCCTCTGACACCTTTCACATACTCAAATGGAGTCAGCCCAGACAACCAACAGTTATCTTTTGGTGGCCCAGCATGGATCAGTATCTCGCAAGAGATGAGTAAAGGTGAGAGGATTATTCCATGTGGGCTGCTCCTGGTGAGGCAGATCTAGGTGTGACTGGCCTTCCTCATACAAGGGGCATGCTGTGACTGCTCAGGTATTGCTGCTTCACATCTCTCCTTCAGAGCAGCTTGGTTTCTCAGGGTCATCTCCACAGAGTTATTAGAGCTTCTAGGAAACTGATTAAATATGTACCTGTTTTCCTTTATTCCCACTATCAGCCTGTTACAAAGGTGTTTGACCTTAGGGGAGTCAATGCCTCTCTCTAATATCCCATCAGCCCTCTTGCTTTTTTCCTTTTTTCCCCTGTCTGCCATGGCTGTGCTGACAAGGGGATGGCTGAGATAACCCCAGTGTGACAGGTCAGGTCAGAGTGTGCTGGGAGAGTGCCTGGGCATGGCTGTGCTGTGTGGATGGCCACAGGTGTTTGGGGACAGGCCTTGCTGGGAACAAAACATGGAGCAAGGAGCAGGTCAGCTGGCCTGAGGGTGTTGCTGAACCACTTACCTCCACTGTAGTTCCTGTGGGTGATGCAAGTTCTGCTCTGGTGAGAGGACTTAGTGGAACTGGGGGAAGGCAGTAGACGTGGGATGTGCCAGCCTGGCTAGAGATCTGCTGCCAGGGCCTCGCTGTAGGTTTGGTGCAGCAGATGCAAGGCTGGTGCACCCCCAGAATGGTCCTGCTTTCCCCTCCTGCCCCTCTGGAATGAAAGGTCTTCCTGCTGTGGCCTGTGCTTGCCTGCAATGTCACCTGCTTCTGCTCAGCATGGTGGTGGTGAGCAGTAAGCCTGTGGCCCATGTGCCTGCCAGCTCCTGGGCCCAGCAGCCTCAGCAGGGGAAGCCCTGGGGTGTTTCCCAGCTCAGCCAGGCTGAGATGTCACTCAGGGTATTGGGAAGGAGGCAGCATCACAGCACCAACTCCAAGGGAAGTAGATGCTTCCAACATCTCCAGAGAGCTTTCTACTGCTGGGGGGCTGCTCTTGGCTTATTTTCCTTTTTTTCAAGGCAATTTGGGCAGACCTGCACTGGTGTCCCTCCAGCTGGAGTGTGAGGACTTGCTGTAGGTGTTTCTGGGCATGACTGGTCCCAGTTGATGTGACTACACTGGTTGCACGGGCGGTGGTGGCTGACAACGCTGCCACGCGCACCCTGTCAGTGACACCCTCGGAGCCCATCAGACGCTCACAGGATCTGGTTGCCCAGGGCTGCTTTGGTGGATCTGTGGGCCAGGAGGAATGGCTCCAGACCCAGTGGCCTGGGATGCTGTCCCCAGCCCTAGGTGGTCACCAAGTGAGCCTCTCCACACGCTCTGCAGCTGAACAGACACCCCGGTCACACAAGGCCCCCAGAAGAGTGGGGGGTGATCTGCCTGCTGGCAGGGACACAGACATGAAAAGGCTGCAGGGCTCAGGTCTTTTATTGCAAAGAGGGAGATACAAAAAAAGGACAGTCACCCCTTTTTGGGTCCCCCAGGCCTGCAGCTGACTGAGAGGGGTGACAGCAGGGAAAGGCCCAGGCCTTGCTCCCCCTGCATGGGGACCTCGGCTCACACAGTGAGGAGCAGGCTGCTGCCAAGGACCACACTGGAGCCAGGGCCCCACAACAGAAAAGTGGGTGACCCACTGTGTCCCCGTGTGGTACCCTGGCTGGCCGGAGAGCAGTGCTGCACGGGGAGCCTGGCACCGGGTAGGGCTGCCTGGCCTCACCCAGACACAACTCATGGCAGGCTGCCCTGGCCTTGTCCCCTGCTCCGCTGTTTTACCAGCTGGAGTGCTGAGGTTCCAAACGGCTCTGCAGCCTTACGGAGGCTGCTGTGGGGGTGCTCGCCATGCGCCCCTCGGGGCCCTGAGCCCTTTTGCCCAGGGAAGGAGGGAGCAGGGTCGTTGCCCTCTGTCCAGGCGGGGCACTCTGCAGACTGCCCCAGGTTTGTAGGTATGGCCAGGCATGGGGATGCCCAGGCTCTAGCTCCTGCTGGCTCCTCACGTGTTGTCCTGGGCCAGCTCCTCGGGGCAGGCAGGTTGGTCCCGGGCCTTGCGCAGCCCTGTGGGCGGCTGGGCCGGGGTGCTGTGCTGAGGGTCCGGCCCCGGGGGAGCGTGGTGCTGGTGCCGCTGGTACTGCACAAACATACAGACCTTCATCCCAATGGCCAGCATGTTCTTGCCCATGAAGATGCTGGAGACCCGGGCATCCCTGAAGAAGATCATGTTGCTGCCTCGGATGAAGATGGTGGCGATGTTGACGGTGAGCATGCTCAGCATGGGGTACAGCATCATCCGGTGCGGCACGATGCCGATCCCCTGCATGCTGATCTCGCATAGGGACACGCACGGCAGGACCAGGAGCAAAATGTAGCAGTAGAAAAACATGATGCCCTCAGCCCAGAGAGGCAGCCCTTTCTTCTGAGGCTCCCACAAGTTGGCCTGGATGTCCAGCACGTCCAGCATGTCCACAATGACCCAGAAAAGGCGGTTGCGGAGATCTTCCTTCTTCTTGAATGTTCTGACATACTCCATGTGCTCTGTGGCCACCAACAACACATAGAGAGCTGGGATGCAGATGGAGAGCAGCAAGGTCAGCGCTTTGCGGGCTATGAGATCCAAGCTTTTCCGGTCAGCTTTGTAATTCTGGTATACAAAGTAGACTTTGATCTCCAGAACGAAGACGTACAGGAACCAGAGGATCATGGCATATCCTCGCTTAGCTGTCTTTACCTCTGCCCCAACCCAGATAGCCACATAGCGGAGGACCAGCAGGAAGCATATGTCACCCACTGCCACCATGACACAGATGCCCAGCTTCCTGGAGCCCTGGCTCTGCTCCACCAGGTAGGCATCCATGAGGACGAGGCTGGTCATGATGAGCACTGTGGAGAGGCACACATGGGGCTTGCTGACAGGTGGTGGGGGAACCATCCTGCACAGAGGAACAGGCAGGTCATCAGGGAGTTGCTGAGATTTCCTTTTCCCACCTTTGGGCCCCCTTCTGCCACCCTCTCCTCAACAGCTGTGGGTGGCTGAAAGAAGGGAGGGAGCCATTCATAAATTTCTCCCATCCTATGTGCCTGGTTTATCCCAAACATGCAGATTCCTAGCCAAAGAGCTCCTAAGACAGACCAGGCCATCCTGGTGGCATGTGCTGGCTGAAACCCAGCTCCTAGGAAGCACATGGTCAGGCAGGCTGGACACCTGGGACACTTTAAGCACTTGGGATCCCACTGCCTCTTCTGGTAGCTCATAACACTGACTAGCCTCTGCCACCATGAAGGGTACATGCCTTATTTTCTGTGGGATTTCCCAGCCAGTGGTACTCCTTATATTTTCCCCCCACAAGGCAAGCCAAGACTAGACTTACGTTTTTAACCCAAGCAGACCCTTAAATGCTATGATCCAGGACTGCTCTTTTTAGTCTCTTTATTTTCATGCACAGCACAAGATGAAGCCTGGCTTTTTTTAGCCTGGCTGTCTTGTGGGGTAGGAGGGAAAAAATCGGCCCAATATTCAGTTTCCTTCAGGTTCGCACCCCGCAAGAGCTTTGCCTAGAGCTATTTGCCAAGGCCCTCCCTGCCCCAATACCATAAACCAAAAGCAAGGAAAAGCAGCACAAGCCCAAAGCTCCCTGACACAAGGAGCTCTGCAATAGGCCCTAAAGTTCTGTGGGATGCTCACCTTTCCTGGGCTGGGGCAGAGCAAGGCACTGTCTCCAGAAGCACCCTGCCTGTCTTGTGTGGCACCAGGGCTGTCAGACTCCCTCCCCCTGACCAAGCACAGCTGCAGGCAGCTGCCTTCAGAAGCAAGGAGGGAGGACAGAGCTGGGGCCTCACCAGGCAGAACTTGGCAGCTGCTCTGGAGGGGAGCCAACCCCCCGGATGAAATGGAGGATGAAACTGGGCTGATGACTGTGTGGCACAGTGCTGCACGAGGGCTGCCCACGCGGAGCCCGCCTCTGCCATGCCTGGGCTGTGCACGCCCGGGACACCATCCTGCTCGTCCAGGGGGCAGCGAACAGGTGGCACTTGACCACAGAGCAAATGCCTGGGAGCGGGATGGCGGCTGCACAGTTAATGGTCACCCTGCACATGGCTGCTCCTGGTGCTGACATTGATGGCACAGGGCCCTGGGCACAAGCTACCTGAACTCCTGCTTTTTGGCTGAGGGAGCAGGCGTCCGGCGCAGTCGTGCATCCCTGGGCCCAGCAGCATCCTGGCACGTTGCGGGAGGCAGCGAAGCCTGAACCTGTCAGACACAGGTGCCTCTCAGGGGGAGGGATCAGAGGCCGGCGGGCATGGGGGAGCCTGTGGATGTGGCACATCTGGAGCATGCCGCACGGCCGGGGGCTCACCCGCCTGGCACCCCACGGCCTAGCCGAGCCTCCGCGGGGGCTGGGGTTACCCCGGGCCCCGGCTCAGCACGGCCCTGCCGGACGGGCGCCCGCCCCGGGGCCCGAGCCGGGCCGCCCCGCCGAGCTCCGTCCCTGGGAGCGCCGGGGCACCCCCGGCCCCGCCTGTCCCGAGCCCCCTGCCCACAGCGGCCGGGCCTGCCGGGGGCAGGCACTGCCCGCCGGCCGCGGGGGCCCGGCCTGCCGTCCCCCCCGGGCCCCGCTTACCTCGGGCGGCTCCCCGGGGCGCAGGGCGGCGGCGGCGGCGGCCCCGGGCCCGGCGCGGCATCGCCCGGCGCGGCCCGGCGGCGGCGGCTCTGCGGCGGCGCTCGGCCCCTCCCGGCGGGCGGCGGGCGGGGACTGCGGCGGCCCCCGCCTCACCCGCGGGCCCGGCGCCGCCCGCCGCTCCGCTGGGTCCGCTGCCCCTGCCCCGGCTCGCTCCCGCCGCCCGCCTGTCCCCATCCGCTGCCGCCCCGGGGCCGCCGCCTGCGTCCCCACGCGTCTCCAGCCCCCGTCCTGCCCCTGCCAGACCCACGGGCCGCAGCCAGCAGAGGCCCCGGGCGAACCAGTGGCGCCCTGGGAAGCCTGGCCTGACAAGGATGTCTGCCCTCCAGGAGGGACTGGGGCCGCGACCTGACCTTGCTGGGTGGAGAAGGCAGGGGAACTCATGACCTGATACCCAGCCGTGCCGGTCTGCAGGGTCCTGGAGAGCCCCAGCCTCGCCGGGCTCTGGTACAGGTGGGCTTGTGTGCAGATAGAGCGGGCCAGGGAAGGCAAAAGGTTTGATTACCCTGGTGGACATACCCCTCTGCAGCTGCTCTTCTATCAGCCTAAGCAGCTTCTTGCATTTAACTCCAAACTTTCTTCTGAGTGATGTAGGTCTTAGCTACACAGGGAAGGTTTTTCAGTGTATTTCCTCTCTGAAATGCTCACTGTAAATACATGTATTTTGGAAGACAAGGAAGCTCTACGACCTCTGGAGATGGGCTATGAGCAAAATCAGGCATAGATCTGAGAGCAAGGACAAGTGCAAGTGACACAGTGCCGGGGAAGTACAGCCCTCCTTGCATCCGGCTGCTGACAGAGTGGCTGTAGGTCCCTGTTGGATCTGATGCCCTGGGGGATCTCAGCTGCCACCAGTAACACATAAATCTAACCTGTGGTGTCCTTGGCAAATGGAGGCACTGGACCAGTGCTAAGCTAAGCATCCAAGCTCACGTGTCCCACAGCGTGGACTAGTTGATGCAGGTAGGTGGAGGTCCTGTGTGAAGGGAGCAGAGCTCTGGGTTAGCCAAGTGCAACAAGGTAAGGAGTTTGGCTGCGGGAGCATTCTCCTAATCCAGGAATAAATAGTGTAATAAATAAAAAGGTCTTTGTTCTTCAAAATGAGCATTGAAGGAGATAAGAATTTGAACTGAGTAGGGAATCTCAAGACGTGGGAAAAGAAGGAGGAGAGGGGGAGGGGGCCCGGGTAAACAGCATGTATTCTGTTTAAGAATTGTGCAGGTGCAACTAACATAGAAAACTGTGTAACTAACTATATACAAGTTAACTTTTAGGCCAAGGACAATCTGCAAAGAAGATAAGGAGCCTTCATTCCTATGACCACCAAGGGCAGAGAAAAAAAAAAAAAGACCCCCTAACAACCAATTACACCGGCACAGAGTGCATTGAGAGAAAATACGTCAACTGGAAAAAAAAAGGGGACTATAACAACAAAATGGTCAAAGGGGAAGTTGCGCCGTGGCAGAGCAGAGGGTCCCCAGCCGCCCAGCGCTGTTCTTTTGCTTAATACCGCTTGCTTAATAAATTCTTGTTAATTGATTTATCTATAATTAGCCTCCCCAATTGAATTTGTCCATAACAAACAGCAATCCCCAGAAGGGCTGAAAGAGCAGGGGAATAAAGCAGCCAAAGCAAACTGCCTCCAAAAATGAAAGGAGACCTTGCAACTCGAGTGGAGAGCAACATGAGGCACAAGAGGGCAAGCCAACACTGCAAAAATCTACTTCTTTCCTCCAGGACACAGAAGCACTGACTCTCACTATCTGAACAGTCTCTTGCAGGATGCAGAGAGGAGCAAAAGGCCTCTGTCCATGGAGGGGGACACCAAAGAGGTATCCATATGACAGAGGCAGGACAGAAGTGCTGGAGGAACCTACCAAGCAGTGGGGCTAAAGACAAGATGATTCATCCATGAGCTGGAATCATAAAACCCCTGAGTCTCCACTAGAGACTAGGACAGGAGGTGACAACATTTGCGTGGGAAGCAGTAAAGAGCTGCTTTAACAAGGCACATGAAAATAAGGAGCCAGAACAAGAACAGATTCTTTTGTGCTTCTCTAAAACACTGTGCTGGAACCGGGTTGCCAGAGTTGGTATGTGGCTGCACCTGTATCATGGATAAACTGGAAAGGAACCACAGAGGGTACACCAGGATTCCCAGGCACATAGCTGCTCTCTGGCTGCTGCCAGCTCCAGACCTGGGTGGAGAAGCATCTTCAGCTTAGCCCTGTTCTGTCCATGAAACCTTCACCCCATTACTGGCGCTGAAAAGTCCCTTTGGGCAGTGACAGCAATGCACTCAAAGGCTCTTGGGAGACAGATGGAGAAATCCATCAGTCACGTTAACATCCTCAAAGGGGAGCTGCGGGAAGCAGAGGAAGTTTGTCAGCAAGGAACAACAAGCAGTGGCTGTAATGGAGAAAGGCTGGCAGTAGCCTGGGGACCGTGCTGAGAGCTTCAAACTGTGACACATAAAAGAAAAGAAGTAAAAGGCTTTTCAAAGGCACATTTCAAATGGGTTACCTGGATGCTGAAGAGCATTTCCCTGATGTCCTCAAGGATCTTATCCACAATGAAGCAGATCTCAGTGGGTGGCTGGCACACAGAAAGGTCTCAGCATAAGAGGAGCTGGGAAAGCAGCTGAATGTGATGACAACTCTATCAGCCTCTGTTTAAGCTGGAAGATAACAAGGCTTTGGGACTTGCAGTGAAAAACACACAATAATTTTGACCTCAAAGAATGGGAAAAGCCACCATGTGTGGAAGAGCACAGCTGTAGGTAGGTCATGTTGTAGGCACAAAGTCAATAAAACATGAAGACAGGAAAAAAAGGAAGAGTGGGCTGTGTGGACAAGCCCCCAGATAAATAAAGCATATTGAAACAACCTCAGAACAAATGCATAAATTCATCTGTAAAAAAGCCAGAAGGCCAAAAAAACCCAAGTGAGCTGCAAGAAGTACTTGAAGGGAACTGGCTGGAGGGAAAGAGGCAGAGAAATGCACCTCAGTCCTACTGAACATCCTTCCAGGGAAAACACAGCAAAAAAGAGGAGCCTCATCAACCAGAAACTGCAAGTGGTGGTTGCCACAGGGAAAGACCATTTATGACCTGGTGACTGTGCCCTGAGCTCCAACAGCTCTGAGAAAGCATCACAGATTGTAAACCATGTCAGCCCCAGGGCAGAGCAGAGGTGGCTGGAAGTGATGGGCATCCTTCAGAAAGGTGGGGGAAAGGGGGAGCAGCAGGACTGCCAGCCCTTGGGAAGTGTCTGGAAGGCAGTCACCTCAGCAGGCTGCCCTGGGCTCAGAAGGGAGGTGCCTCTGATCTCCTGGAAGTGAGCAGGCGTCGCTGAAAACCTAGAGCACTCAATGCTATTAAAGTATCACACAAATAGCCAGGAATGGTGACTCAGACTAGAAAGCAAATGGATAAAAGCAAACAGCTGGGGAGGGACTGCAGTGGGTTTTCTCAGGGTAAATCAAGACCCTAGATTTAGCAAGCTCCTCTGAAGCCAGCAGCTGCTTTGGGGAAAGGCAGTGGTGATGTCCAGCTGAGGTCAATGATAAGTGAAAATGCTGAGAATAAGGCCATGACCATTGTGTGACTCTCTTTGGCTGCAAAGCCCAGGTTTCCACATCAATTGGCAGAATGCTATGAAAATGCAGCTCATCCTTGGTCCAGCTGGTCTTACACAAAGGCCTCTGCTAAGATCCCCTAGAAAATGTTCTTAGAGAACAAAGGCTGTCAAGGGTGAAAGCAAAGGTCCTCTTGTGCATTAATGACTTACTTAAATGAAAGCAAATGCATTAAAGCAGCAATGAAGCTGTTTTGTAAATAAGTCAGGAGGTCTGGGCAACTCTGCTGAGACCCATGCCATTTATCAGATGCAGAAGTGGGCCTGGAAGGTGGGCAGGGAACAAGAAGTAAAAGTTTGGTGATGGTTCAGATTTTCCATCTAGTCAAACTGGAATCTGATGTGAATTACCAGCATGTTACTGACCAACCTGAACCCCAACAGCAGAGCTAATATAGACCTGACAAATGCAAGTAAAAAGAAGAGGTGCAAGGGACAGACTACAAATTATACATCAGTATTCAGGAAGGTGCCCCCGGAATGTTTACTGGTAATGTTTTGAAAACACAGTACTCAAAATTAACAGTAGAAACCATGGATGTTTTAGGCTGCTTTGCAAGATTTTGCTGATGCCACTTTTCTAATTCCTCCACTGGCATGAGCCATATTATACAGTCTGCCTGGAATAACACTGCATCCATGGAAAACTCTGTCACTGCTAAATGCATTTAGGAGCACAGGTCCCTGCAGAAGCTGCTGGCTTTTCCTTGTTTTCTGGTTTCACCACTATTGAGTTGCCTGTTTCTTTCACATAGTTTTCAATGCAGCTCTCAGATCACCTCTGCTTTCTTTCAGAAGCCCTCAGCCCTACCACCCTACTCTGATTATGAGATTTCTCTGAGCCATTTCAGACAGATACTTCTGCTGGAGGCAAGGTCCAGTGGGGAACTTTTATGCTTTCTACCAGAACAGAGTTCACTTGTCCAGCTGCAGCAGGTGTATCCTCAGCTCTGTCCCTAGGGATGCTCTGCTCTGCACATGCTTTATAATTTGCAAAGCCTTCGCATCTGTTGAAGCTCTGGGCATGGTCTCCAGGTCACAAATGGCTTTTGCCCATGACAGCCACCACTTGTAGTTTCTGGCCGACGAGGTTCCTCCTTTTGCTGCATTGCCCTCGAGACATGCAGTGGGACTGAAGGGGATTTCTGCCTTTCTCCCATAGCCTGCTCGGAGTTCCCAAGTGTTTCGAGGAAAGAGTCAGTCAGAGGTCTCGCCTTCCTTTTGGTTTCATCCCGCCGTGCCCCCGGGTCCAGCTGCTCTGTTCCTCCTCATGCCCATCCGCTGGCCGGCCCTGCCGTTCAGCCCTGAGGGCACCCTCTCCTCGCGGCGCTTCACGGCTCGCCATCGCCGCGGCCGTTCCCGCGGACATCTTCACCGCCGGTTACACCGCCACCGCCGGCAGAGCAGCTCGTGCACGGCCGAGGCCCGGGGCAGCCCCGGGGATTGTCCGCCGCTGCCCGGGTGCGGGGACGGACAGACGGACAGACAGATGGACCAGCCCTGGCGGTGGGACGCGCGCCCGACCGCGCCCCTGGGCGCGCTCCCGCGGGCGGAGACCGATGCGTTTTAAAGGGAGCGACGCCGCGCCCTCCTACCCCCTCCAAGCCGGGGCAGCGGCGCCGCTCCCATTGGCTGGCCCCGCCCCGCTGGCCTCTCCGATTGGGCAGCGGCCGCCCCGGCCTCGCCTCTCGCTCGGCTCCGATTGGCTGTTTCCCATCAGCCGCGGTCCTCGCCCTTTTTCCTGGCTCCGGTTGGCTCGTGCCCACGCCCCAGCCGCGCTCTGATTGGTCACGGGCCGCGAAGGAGCGGGCGCGCGCGCGCGCGCGCGCGCCGGGGTGGAGGCCGTCGCTGAGGCGAGGGGCTCGCGCCGCCCCCCAGCGCCAACGGCGGCGGCGGCGGCGGGATGGCGGCGATGGCGGCGGCCGCGACGACGAGCGGTGCGCTGGGCTCGGGCCCCGCCGCAGGGCCTCCGGCGGCGGCCGGCGGGACGGCAACGACGGCGGCGGCCGCGATGGCGGTGGGCAGCCCGATGCAGGTGCCCATGAACCTCTTCGCCACGTGGGAGATCGATCGGTCGGCGCCGAGCTGCGTGCCCAGGTGAGCCGCCCGGCCGCCGGGGCTGCGCGGAGCCCGGACACGAGCGGGGCCGGGCAGGAGGCGGCCCCCGCAGCATCCCTGCCCCGCCGGGCCGCGCTCCTCGGTGGCGGGGAGGCCCGGCCCCAGGCAGGGGCTGATGCGCACTCGGGCCCCCGCTGTGCTTCCAGCGGGAGCGGCCCTGGGGACTGGCGGGGCAGGGGGCACAGCACTGGAGCGCGGCTCTGTTGCCTCCATGTTGCAGCCTCTGGCGAGCTGCGATGACCGTGGATCGCAGAAGGGGGTGTATCATCCTGGCTGTGCTTTGGAAAGCTGCCTCTTTGCCCCCGAAGTGAACCGTGATGGCCCTGCTGCCGCTTCCGTGAAGCCAGGCAGTGGCCAGCGGGCATCCATGGGCCTGTGCCATCTACACTCCAGACCATAGGGAGCAACAGGAAGGATTCACTGTGCTGCCAGCTGAACTCAGAGTTGTATCTCTATCAGAGCTGGGAGACAAGCTGAGTGCTGTGGATGTCATAGCTGTCTGTATGGTTAAAGGTATGGTCCAGGCTAGATGTGCTTGTGAACACCTGTCTTGGAGCCTGAAGGTGCCTGATGTGTTAACGAGGTGGGTGGGTGTCCTTTGGCCCACTCATCTTACCAGGTCTTCTCATGAGAGTTACAGGGCAGATTCAGGAAGTCACCCTGGTTCCTTGTGTCTCTGGGCTGTGGTGTGTTGTCTGCAGTGATGTATTCAAATGTTTCACCAAAATTAGAGGTGTAAAATTCAAGAGGGGTAAAAAACCCATTCCTGTAGGGCAGCAGGATACCAGCCTTTGTGAAAGGGCTTTGCTAGGCAGATATGTTTTTAGGGGGAAACTCAGTGACTGTGTGGCCAGATGGGCTGGAGTAGAAACATTCCAAAATACTCCAAGCTACTAGAGAAAGCCTCTGTGATTGTGGTGCCCAAGGGAGTGCTGGGCTCGGCAGGCAGCAGATGTGAAGGACTTTGCAACATGTGTCTGCTAAAAGCCTGTGCACGCTTTGATGACACATACTGAGGCTGTTGTGTGGAGCAGGAAGCAAGTGATCATTTCATAGCTTTAAAGTGACTTGAGGTGTTGTTCATTTGTGGGCAGGTTACTCCCAAGCTAGAATTTGGGAGCAGGAAAGAATTATCATGTTGACTTCCTGTAGAAAAAGTTTGCATATGCAAGACCCAGAACTTAGTGATGGTAAAGGATGTGCATGTACATAGGCTTCACAAATGGAAGTGCTTCAGGAGCTAGGGAGAGGGGAACTGCTTTGGGCAAACCATGGACAGAATGAGAATAGTGAGTGTAGAAGAGGGTTACATGGATGGCAGGATGCCAGCGGGTGACAACTGATGTGTAATCAGTCTGAAAGTTGTTTGTAGAACTGGTTTTTGGCCCAATGAATCCTGTGTCTTCTCACAAGGACAGTTTCCATTAGCATTGTATAGATGCTTGTTCTAATGCACAAGCTTCTTTGTGTGCTGACAGCCCAGGGGGCAGCCATCTGACACAGCTGCTTGCAGGGAACTTCTGTGAAATTCATCTGAAATATCATCTCTGAAATGTCTTCTAACACAGCATCTGCTAAGATGGGAAGAAACTGATGGAAGCTAATTCTTCCTTCAGAGGCCATGGCTCTAACATGATGTGCTGTCATGTCTGTAGAGTCAGGAGGTCTGGAGAAGCCCTGCCAGTGGCCACAGTCCACAGTGACCAGTGTGGAGCTGGTGCTTCTGTGTTTTCCAGTCTTCAGTTAGCCCCAGCTTTTCTGACTGAGCAGGTCATGGGTGGGGGTGTGTCAGGCAAGTGTTTCAGTTCACTGAAGCTGAAGGCAGCTCAAGCCCCAAACCTGAGCTGTTAATGGAGTATATGTGCACTGTGCTTCCTTATTGCTTGCCCATGTTCTTTCTCTACTGATCTGCTTGTATATGGTATAGTCTTGATGTGTTCTTCAAGGCAGGAGCTCTGCTGGACTGTTCTAGTGCCCAGCACAGGTGGTCTCTGGTCTCGCTGTGCTTTGGGGGTGGTAGTGGTGGCAAAATAATTTCCATCCATGGGCAGTAATGCCCTTGGGCTTCTCTGTCTCTTATGCATGTGTAGTCTGTGTTTTTTCATACTTATGGATATCTGGAGAAAGAAGAACTTTGCAC